GGCAGCCCCCTGGCCTCCAAGACCTTCTTAATATGGCTGTCTCACCAGCCACCAAACCTATGGCAAGTCCACTCCAGCTGTTATTCAAGTCTGGTTACTGTATACTGTTTCTGTCTGCCCACTTTTCCAAGCTTTCCACTTAACAAGCAGCTTCTCCCAACAACTGAAAACTCTGGAGAGGCTTTCTCCTGTCCCCAGCCTCTGTGGGCAGCCAGCCAATCAATTTTTTTTGGAGACATTAGTCTCACTCTGTTGGCCAGACTAGAGTTCCATAATGACAGCCTAGCTAACTGCAACTTCAAACTCCTGGGCTCATGAAATCCTTCTTCAGACTCCTCACAAGCTGGCACTACAGGTGCCCACCACAATGCCTGGATAATTTTTTAATTTTTAGTGGAGATGGGGTCTTGCTCTTGATCAAGCTGGTTTCAAATTTCTAAGTTCAAGCAATCCTCTTACCTTGGCCTCCCAGAGTTCTATAATTGTAGGCATTAGCCACTGGGCCTGGCCCAGAGGGAAGATTTTAAATAACTAATTCAATGTCTTTATTTGTAGATCTCTCCTCAGATTTTCTATTTCTTTCTTTCTTTTTTTTAGTCTGTCTTGGTCATTTGTGTCTTCCCAGGAATTTGTCCATTTCATTTTATTTGTGTTGGCATACAGTTCTTCATAGTATTACTTTATGATCATTAAGGTATCTGTTATTGTGGTAGTGGTATTGCCTCTTTTATTCCTGATTTTGGTAATTTGTGCTTTCTCACTTTTTTACTGGCCACTCAGTGGTTTTTCACCTGGGAGTGATTTTTGACCTACAGGGAACATTGGTAATATCTGGAGACACTTTTGGTTGTCAGAGCAGGGGGATGGCTACTGGCACAGTAGGTGGGTAAGGGCAAAGGATGCATCCAAATATCCTATAGTACATAGGACAGCCCCTCACAACTAATCATTACAGCCCAAAATGTCAATAGTGCCAAGGTTGAAAAATCCTGGCTACCTAAAGTTTGGTCAATTTTGTTGATCACCTCATAGATTCAATATTTGCTTTCATAGCAACTCTGAGTTTTGTTTATTTATATTCCTGAGGGTTGCTGTTGTTGCTTCTCTGCTTGTTTGGTTTTTGGTTTCTTTAGCAACTTCCCTGGACTAATTTTTGGAATCTGTTGCCTAGCTAATGTGTACCTAGTAATATCTCTGTACAATTTTTTTAATTAAAATAATTAAGCCAGTCTTTTTATGAATCACCCCTGTATGTGCATAGTGTAGTGGTTAATGATCATGAATAGATTGTGCTCAAACACCTCAAGCCATCCTCTTTCAAAGGATTTGTGTGTTGTTATTAGTATGCCTTCGAAATCAGGCAGTTTTCAAGTCTTGCCAGCTATTAGTTCCCACTGGGAATTAACATATCTTATCTGTGCATGTGGTCAGGCTCACGGTGAGCCAGGGATGCCTGAATAGTGTGTGCCCACCAGTTTTTGCCTTTCCCTCAATGCCTGTAATAAATGCAGAAAGAGCTTATCAAGGCCATGTATGACTGTGTTGATTGGATTTCCTATTAAATTTCTACCTAGTTCACAGGTCTATTGCTTGCCCCCAAAAGGACTATAAACTCAGATTATTTGAGCTTTTGGTATTCTCAAAATCTCTTCTTAATTCTAGTAGATTTTAGTACTAAATGACCTAGGGTTTTCTTGATATACTAGCAAAGTATTAATAAAAAGTATTAATTTCATATATTATTTATTGTTTATAAATATCATTACGTTTTATTGTTTTACTGCATTTTCCAGAACCTTTAGAACCATGTTGGCTAGTAATAATAATAATGACAGTCCCTGTTTTGTTGTTGATTTTAATGGGAACGTCTTTATCATGTTAATAGTTAAAATGACATATGCTGTGCCTTTTTTGATACTTAGTATTTTTTAAAAAGTATTTAAATGATTTATATTCATTTAAAATTTTTAAATCAGGGATGGCTATGAAATGCTATCAAAAGTTTTCAGCATCTATTGACAGTTTTCATTTTCTTCTTTAATGTATTAATATAATATGTTAGTTTATATTCTTATATAGATAAATTCTTCCAGTCATACCTAGAATAAAACTTACTTCTTATTGCAGTTTTTTATTCACTGCTAGTTCTTACTTGATATTGTATTTCAAGTTTTGCATATATATTCATAAATTAATTTGATCTGTAATTTTATGTCTTAAACTAATTTTAAGATCAGGTCTGAGTCTGGATAAATAGTATAAATTTAAAGATTTTCATTGTTTTCTAAGATCAAGAATAGTTAAGTAACATTAGAATTAGCAGTTGAGGACAAGTAAACTTTAAAACCACACGATTGCATTGTCTACCTCCCTTGTTTTAGGGTTAATTTTAACTTCCCACTTTTTTATACTATAGAAAGTAATATTTCATTTTAGAATTCCAAATTTCCTGGTTTGTCTTGGAAAAAATGTTAATAACATTTTATTTGTGCTATGTATTTCTTCCAAGGAGTTCAAATTTTATTATACCAATTATAGAAAGCAGAACATCAGTATATTACCATGGGAAAGAATCTTAACAGTAATCTAATTTAACCTTCTCATTTTATAAATGAGCTCACTGAAACATTAATTTTCACATAATTTAGGCTCAATTAAGAAGTATATTGGAGGTAGCTTGAGATAGAAAATTTTTTACATAAAATATATAGTAATATAAGTCTAGTAGTAAATATTTGGGTTAGGAAATGTTGTAATCCATTGTCTCCCAGGTTTATATTAAGTGATGAGTTTTTATATAAAAATTGAAAGCTTTAGCAGGCTCTTAGAGATAATCTTCTTTCACTAACCTGATTACCTGTAGCCTTTTCTTAATCATTCTTTTTTATATACAATGGAAAAACTATGTAAATAATTGTACTGTAGTTTTTATTTGTATTGTTTTTAATTGTTACAGTTATTTCTTCCATTAAAAAATTTAAAAATATTATGGTAGTACAAATGATTTTGTTGCATGAATATCTTTTATAATACTTAAGTTGGAGCTTTCAGTGTGCCATCACCAGAATAATGTTCGTGGAAGCTAATGGATAAATTTTTACTCCTCACTCCATCCAACTTCCCCCTTTCTTGGTTTCCAATGCCCTTTACATCTCTTTACACCCATGTGTGCCCATTGTTTAGATCTCAATTATTAAAGAGTACATTTGGTATTTGTTTTTCCATCTCTGAAATTAACTTAGGCTTATGGTCTCCAGTTGCATCTGAGTTGCTGAAGAAGACATTATTTCATTCCTTTGTGTTGCTAATACTCCATTGTATTTGTGACTGTGTCTGTGCACATACTCTCACATTTCTTTATTCATTCCAGAATTGATGAGCACTTAGGTTGATTCCACATCTTTGCAACTGTACATTAAACAATAAACATTTGAATGCAGTTGTCTTTTTGATAAAATGACTTCTTTTCCTTTGGGTACATACTCAGAAGTAGGATTGTTAGATTGAATGGTAACTTTATATTTATTTCTTTAAGACATCGTATTCTTTTCCATACAGGTTGTACTATTTGCAGTCCCATCAACAGTGTATAAGCATTCATTTTTCTATGCATCCATCTCAATATCTATTATTTTTGACTTTTTTAAATTTTCAGATTAGTCTGAGGTACATATGATTAGATTACATTGTTTGCATTTGTAAGTTAAAGTCTGAGTTGTAGTGGTGTCCTTCACCTAGTAGCTGATGAACTTCTCGTATCTGGATATCTGAATCTCTGGTGATACTGGGGATGTTTTTTCCTAATAATTCCCTTAAAAGAATTAGGTTTTCCATGCTTTTCTATTTTTCCTCTCTCTTTTGGAGATACCTATACTTATTTTTTTGGCCCACTTTGCATAGTCCCATAGTTCTGAGTGATTGTTCGTTCTTCTTTATTATCTTTTCTGCATCTTTGAGTGGGTTAGTTCAAAAGCTCATTTTGAGCTCTGAAATTCTTTCTTTTCCTTGGTCTAGTCTGTTGTTGAAGGTTTCCATTATATTTTGAAATCCCCCAAGTGACTCATTCCTTAAGTTCTATTATATCTTTTCTTATGTTGTCTATCACTTTAGTGAATTTTTCAATTTTTCTTTCATGTCCCAGAACTTTTTTTTGAATCTTTATGTTGTTTTTTTCTTTCTCTTCAATCCCATTCATCTTATTTGCCATCCACATTCTGAGTTCCATCTCTGACATTTTATCAATTGTCTTTGGAGGGTTGTTCATTGCTAGAGACCTACTGTAGTTATTTGGGGGTATTAAAATAGTATTTGTATGTTGTAAATGGTTTTTTTATTCTCTTTCTTATCTGAAATTTCTTCTCTCAGTTCAAGACAGAAAAGCTTGCAGTGCACCTATTCTCTTCTGCAGGGAACTCTCCCACTTAGTACAAAGAAGTAGAGGTCCCTGGATGGAGTATTTGTATCCTATTCTGGAGGATTGACCAGGAATGAGATGTGTGGATGCACTTTGACCATCTCCTGCCTCACCTTTCCCCTGTGGTTGTCAGTGGCAGCTTCCATATTGCAGTGAGTGAATGCCACACCTAGTTCTATTAGCTGAGGCAATTATTAGCCTGACTCAGCTTGCCAGCTGCTCTACTCAGATATGTGAGCAGTGGCATTTGTCAGATCACAGCCCTGCCCACGGTAATTATATGCTTTGGGATCTTTCCTACTCTGATCTGTGGTGGCAGCATTTGTTACCCTGTGTGGCTTGAGCATAGTCCTGCTTGTACTCTCAGGCAGCAGTGATTGTCAGCCCACACGAGGCTGAAAACTGACTCATTCCCTAAATCATTCATTTGGTTGCTTTTATATGTTAACTGTGAAAACTAATGGGAAGATGATTGTATATTCTCACTTTAGGCTCAACTCATCTTCACCTAAAAGTAGAACCACTTGGAGCAAGATCATATCCTTCTTTTCTCAAAACATCAGATTCCCTTCCACATCTAACTTACCAAGTCTTTGTCTAAAGCTTCAGGGATAGATTTGCTTCTTACACTTATAGCATCTTCTAAGTCTTCTGTAAATGATTCATTGAAGTCTAACTCAGATTGACTCCAGTCTGGAGGGAGAGAAAAGAAAAGAAAAGCATAAATCAGCTTATTTTGGTAGAAGATTTCATTTGTCATTGCAAATGTTTCATCATTATTCCAATTCTTATTAGGCATATAGTATAGGAAATATCACAAAAGCAACAGTCGGAGTCAGTAACTTCATCCTGTTTATGTTAACCTGTTTCCATTTTTACAGCATTTTGGAAATTGCCTTGGACTGAATTACTAACACATATGTGTTTATTTTTCCTTTGGTCACAGAAGGTTAAATGCTGTACTAAAAAAATGCCAAATTTTACAATGTTGAAGGCTTCTTCTTTGCTCCTAGAATTAAAAAAAAAACTCTCCTAGAATGGGCTTTTATGATTGGAAAAAAAGACTCATTAACCTTTTTTGGTTTCAAAATTTAGAGCATTCACTATATTTTTATATTTGACATAAAATGCAAGTCAACCAATTATAAACTGCCACTTAAAAATGATACTGAAAGTTCCTTTCACATAAGAAGGTAACAGCTATAAATAAATTGAAAAGATATTCTATTCCATAAGGCACTAGAGCATTCCTTCATCAGAAGAATATCTTGCTTTCAGTTTTAAATATAAAAAACTGGAAGCATGTATGTGGGGCAATAAATACCCTCAGTAATGCTATGGGCAGCTTACCAAGTCTGGTAAATTTATAAACACACAGTAGTCCCAAACCAAAGCCCTACTGAGACAGATATATTTACTTTTAAATAAGAAAGACAGGACAGAGTAATCAAGTTTGTAAGTTTGAAATAGTAATGGAAATAATGCAGAAGTGCTTAGCATAATACCCAACAGGAGTTGCTGGGTAGAAATAGAAGAAGCAGACTCTATGGTGTCATCTTCTAAGCTAGTTTATAATTTTTCATTTAACAAATGAACAGCTTTTCTCCTACTGGGAAAAATGCTGTAGTGATAAGACACATTTAGAAAAGTCAGTGGGAGCTGGCTGGCTATAAGAGACAGCTCAAGTCAACACACAGATTCTTGCCTTAGGCTTTACATGAATATCATAGTCTGAGAACATGGAACTTTTTAATGTCAAGGATTTCATCATGATTTTAACTCTATATGGGGTGGCCATTATGGTGGCAGCCATGTGCACTGAGGCTGGCAGGTTCCAACCCAGCCTGGGCCAGCTAAACAGCAATGACAACTGCAATAAAAAAAATAGCAAGGTGGTGTTGTGGGCACCTGTAGTCCCAGGAACTTGGGAGGCTGAGGCAAGAGAATTGTGTAAGTCCAAGAGTTTGAGGTTACTGTGAGCTGTGATGCCATGGCCCTCTACTGAGGGTGACATAGTAAGACTCTATCTAAAAAGAAAGAAAAGAGAAAAAGAAAGAAAGAAAGATGGACAGAATGACAGACAGAAAGACAGAGAGAAAGATACACATATAATGACACAGAGAAAGACAGAATGACAGACAGACAGAAAGACAGAAAGACAAAAAGAAAGACAGAAAGATGGACCAACAAAAAGACTGACAGATGGGTGGCACCTATGGCTCAAAGGAGTAGGGTGCTGGCTCCATATACTGGAGGTGGCAGGGTCAAACCTAGCCCTGGCTAAAAACTGCAAAAAAAAAAAAAAGAAAGAAAGAAAAAGACAGACAGACAAAAAAAAGTCAGAAAGACAGACAGACAGGTGGAAAGACAGAACAACAGATAAAAAGATGGAACGATACACAAAAACACAGACAGAAAGAGAAAAAGTTGGACAAACAGAAAGACAGAATAAAAGGCAGAAAGTCACACAGACAGACAGAAAGACAGAAATACACACAGACATAAAGACAGACAGAAAGATAAAAAGACATGAAGAAAGAAAGACAGAAAGACAGACACAGAGAAAGACATATAGACAGAAAGACAATAACAGAAAGACAGACGGACAACAAGACAGACACAGAAAGATAGAAAGACAGACAGACAGAAGAACAGACAGAAAGAAAGACAGAATGACAGACAGACAGAACAAAAGTCAGACAGAAAGACAGAACAAAAGACACAGAGACAGGACAGATAGAAAGACAGAAAAACAGACAGACAGACAGACAGGACAGACAGAGAGAAAGACAAAGGCAGACAGAAAGAAAGACAGACAGACAGAAAAACAGAAGAACAGACAGAAAGGACAGACTGAAGGACAGACAGAAGGCTAGACAGACAGGCAGACAGAAAGACAGACAGACAGAAGAACAGACAGACAGAAAGATGAACAGAAGGACAGACTGACAGAAAGGCAGAAAAACAGAAGGACAGACTGACAGAAAGTCAGACAGACAGGATAGACAGACAGAAAGACAGACAGACAGAAGGACAGACAGACAGAAAAACAGATGGACAGAAGGACAGACTGACAGAAAGACAGACGGACAGATAGAAAGAAAGACAGACGGACAGACAGGCAGAAGGACAGACAGAAAGACAGAAGGACAGACAGAATGACAGAAAGATAAACAGGAGAGACAGAAAGATAGACTGACAGAAAGATAGACTGACAGAAAGATAGAACATACAGACAGAAAGGCAGACAGACAGGATAGACATAGAGAAAGACTAACAGAATGACAGAAAGACAGAACAACAGACAGAAAGACTGACATAAAGACAGACAGAAGGACAGACAGATAGACAGAAGGACTGACAGAAAGACAGATGGACAGACAGGAAGAAGGATAGACAGTAAGACAGACTGACAGAAGGATAGAACAAGAGACAGAAAGGTAGACAGACAGGACAGACAGAAAGACAAAGGCAGACTGACAGACAGAAAGACTAACAGAATGACAGAACAACAGACAGAAAGACAGACAGAAAGAAAGACAGACAGAAGGATTGACAGAAAGGCAAACAGAAAGACAGAAGGACAGACAGACAGACAGAAAGACAGACAGACAGATAGAAAGACAGAAGGACAGACAGACAGACAGACTGACAGAAAGACAGGCAGAAGGACAGACAGAAAGACAGACAGACAGAAGGACAGACAGACAGACAGAAAGACAGGTGGACAGATAGAAATACAGACAGAAGGACAGACAGACAAACAGGACAGACAGACAGAAAGACAGACTGACAAAAGGACAGAACAATAGACAGGCAGAAAGACAGGACAGACAGAGAGAAAGACATAAAGGCAGACTGACAGACAGACAGAAAGAAAGACTAACAATGACAGAAAGACAGAACAACAGACAGAAAGACTGACATGACAGAATGACAGGAGGACAGACAGACCGAAGCAAAGACAGACAGGATAGACAGAAAGACAGACAGACAGACACAGGACAGACAGACTGACAGAAAGACATACATACAGACAGAAGGACAGATGGACAGAAGGAAAGACAGACAGACAGTAGGACAGACAGACAGAAAGACAGACGGACATAAGGACAGACTGACAGAAAGACAGAAAGACTGACAGAAGGACAGACAGACAGAACAACAGACAGAAGGGCAGACAGAAAGACAGATGGAAAGGACAGACTGACAGACAGAAGGACAGACAGAAAGACAGACGGACAGACAGGACAGACAGACTGACAGAAAGACATACATACAAACAGAAGGACAGAAAGACAGAAGGAAAGACAGACAGATGGACATAAGGACAGACAAACAGAAAGACAGAAGGACAGACAGACAGAACGACAGACAGAAGGACAGACAGAAAGACAGGCAGACAGAAGGACAGACTGACAGAAAGACAGAAGGACAGACAGACAGAAAGACAGACTGGCAGAAAGACAGACGGACAGAAAGACAGATGGACAGACAGACTGAAAGAAAGACATACATACAAACAGAAGGACAGACAGACAGAAGGAAAGACAGACAGATGGACATAAGGACAGACAAACAGAAAGACAGAAGGACAGACAGACAGAATGACAGACAGAAAGACAGACAGACAGACAGAAAGACGGACAGAAAGACAGATGGACAGACAGACTGAAAGAAATACATACAGACAGAAGGACAGACGAACAGAAGGAAAGACAGACAGACAAACAGAAAGACAGACAGACATAAGGACAGACAGAAAGACAGATAGACTGACAGACAGAAGGACAGACAGACAGACAGAAAAATGGACAGAAAGACAGACAAAAAGATGCATCAATACACAAAAAGACACAAAGACACACAGAAAGACAACAAGTTGGACAGACAATAATAGAAAGACAGAAAGACACACAGACAGAAAGACAGACAGAAAGACAAAAAGACATGAAGAAAGAAAGACAGAAAAACATACACACAGAAAGACATATAGATAGACAACAACAGACAGAAAGACTGACACAAAAAGACATGAAGGCAGACTGACATAAGGACAGACAGACAGAAAGAAAGATGGACAGAAGGACAGACTGACAGAAAGACAGGACAGAGACAGACAGACAGAAGGACAGATAGACGGACAGAAGGACAGACTTACAGAAAGACAGATGGACAGAAGGACAGGCAGGCAGATAGAAAGATGGACCAACAGACAGACTGACAGACAGACAGACAGGCAGAAGGACAGACAGAAAGACAGATTGACAGAAGGACGGAACAACAGATGGACAGAAAGGCACACAGACAGGACAGACAGAGAGGAAGACATAAAGGCAGACTGACACAAAGACAGAAATACAGAACAACAGACAGAAAGACAGACTGGCAGAAAGAAAGACAGACAGACAGACAAACTGAAAGATGGACAGACATACAGAAAGACAGACAGACTGAAGTACAGACAGACAGACAGGCAGACAGAAAGACAGACAGACAGATGGATGGAAGTGCAGACTGACAGAAAGACAGACAGAAGGACAGACAGAGAGACAGAAAGACAGACAAAACAACAGACAGACAAAAGGATAGACAGAAAGACAGAACAAAAGACACAGAAATAGGACAGACAGACAGAAAGAACAACAGACAGGACAGAGAGAAAGACATAAAGGCAGACAGACAGACAGAAGGACAGAAGGACAGAACAACAGACAGAAAGACAGAAAGACAGGACAGACAGAAAGACATAAAGGCAGACTAACGGACAGAAAGACAGACCAAAGGACAGACAGACAGAAGGACAGACAGACTGAAGGACAGACAGAAAGAAAGAAAGACAGAACAACAGAGAGAAGGACAGACAGAAAGACAGGCAGACAGATGGAAAGACAGATGGACAGAAGGACAGACTGACAGAAAGACAGACAGACACAAGGATGGACATACAGAAAGATGGACAGATAGAAAGACAGATGGACAGAAGGACAGACAGACAAAAAGACAGACCGACAGACAGAAGGACAGACAGACAGATGGACAAAAAGAATGACAGACAGCAGGACAGATGGACAGAAAGAACAACAAGGAGAAAGACAGGATAGACAGAAGGACAGACAGAAAGACAGGCAGACAGATGGGCAGACATACAGAAAGATGGACAGATAGAAAGACAGATGGACAGAAGGACAGACAGACAGAAAGACAGAATGACAGACAAAAAGACAGACCGACAGACAGAAGGACAGACAGACAGATGGACAAAAAGACAGAATGACAGCCAGCAGGACAGACGGACAGAAAGAACAACAAGGAGAAAGACAGCATAGACAGAAGGACAGAGAGAGGGACAGACAGAAAGACAGACAGAAGGATAGAGAGAAAGACAGAATGACAGACAGACAGACGGATAGACAGAAGGACAGACAGACTGAAGGACAGATAGACAGAAAGACTGACAGACAGACAGAAGGACAGAGAGAAGGACAGACAGACAGATAGAAAGAATGACAGACAGACAGACAGACAGCACAGTCAGAGAGAAAGAACAACAAGGAGAAAGACAGGACAGAGAGAAAGACAGAACAGTAGACAGACAGAACAACAGACAGAGAGAGAAAAAGGCATAAATGTAACCTGGCAGAAAGACAGGCAGGACAGACAGACAGAAAGACAGACTGACAAAAAGACAGAACCAAAGACACAGAGACAGGACAGATAGATAGAAAGAAAGACAGAACAACAGACAGACAGAAAGACAGACAGACGGGACAGACAGAAAGACATGAAGGCAGACTGACAGAAAGACAGAAGACAGACAGAAAGACAGAATGACAGAAAAACACACAGACAGGATGACAGATGGACAGATCGAAGGACAGATAGGCAGACAGAAGGACAGACAGACCAAAGGACACACAGAAAGACATAAAGACAGATAGAAGGACAGACAGACAGAAAGACAGGCAGACCAAAGGACAGACAGGCAGAAAGACAGAATCAGAATGGCAGACAGAAGGACAGACAGACAAAAGACAGACAGGCAGAAGGACAGACAGACAGAAAGACAGACAGAAGGACAGAGAGAAGGACAGATAGACAGAAGACAGACAGAAAGACAGAAGACAGACAGACAGAAAGACAGACAGAAGGACAGAGAGAAGGACAGATAGACAGAAGACAGACAGAAAGACAGAAGACAGACAAACAGAAGGACAGACAGACAGAAAGGCAGAATGACAGACAGATTGATGGAAAGACAGAAAGACAGAAGACAGACAGACCAAAGGACAGACAAACAGACAGACAGAAGGACAGACAGAGAAACACAGACAGACAGAACATTAAGGAGAAAGACAGACAGGATAGACAGGACAGTGAGAAAGACAGACAGAAGGACAGAGACAGACAGAAGGAGAGACAAAAAGACATACAGGGGAGACAGAAAGACAGACTGACAGAAAGAACAACAGACAGAAAGACAGAAGAACAGACAGACATTAAGATAGACAGACAGAAGGACAGACAGACAGAAAGACAGACACACAGAAAGATAGAACAATAGACAGAAAGATCAAAAGATAGAGAAAAAGACACAAAGAAAGACAGACAGAACAACAGACAGACAGGCAGAAAGACAGAACAATAGACAGAAAGACAGACTGACAGAATGACAGAAAGACAGAACAACAGATAGGAAGACAGACTGACATAAAGACAGACAGACAGAAAGACATACGGACTGATAGAAAGACAGACAGACAGAGAGATAGACGGAAGGACAGACAGAAAGGCAGACAGAAAGACAGAACAATAGAAAGACAGACAACAGAGAAAGACAGAACAAAAGACAGACAGGATAGGCAGAAAGAAAGGCAGAACAAGAGACAGACAGAAAGACAGACAGATGCACAGATGGAAAGACAGAATGACAGACAGACAGAAAGACAGGCAAACAGCCAAAGATAGGACGACAGACAGATGGAAAGAGAAAGACAAAGACACAAAAAAAGACAGACTGACAGACAGAAAGACACACAGAAAGAGAGACACACAGACAGAAAGACAGAAAATGGATAGACAGAAAGACACATAGACAGAAAGACAGAATGACAGAAAAAAAGAATGGCAGACAGAAAGGCAAGCAGACAGAAAAACAGAAAGAAAGACAGACACACAGAAAGATAGAATGACAGAGAAAGACATACAGACAAATGGACAGAAAGAAAAAAAGAAAGACAGAAAGACAGAAAGGGAGAAAGACATACAGAAAGAAAGAATGACAGAAGGATAGACACACAGAAAGACAGACAGAAAGATAGAAAGACACAGGCAGAAAGAAAGAGAAACAGAAAGACACACAGACAGAAGCAGAAAGATGGACAGACAGAAAGAGAGAACAACAGACAGACAGAAAGACAAACAGAAAGATGGACAGACAGAAAGATGGACAGACAGAAAGACGGAAGGAACAACAGACAGAAATACAAAAAGACACAAAGGTAGACAGAAAGAGAAACAAAGACAAAAAGATTTCATGATTATGACAAATTTTTATAAAGAGTTTCCTTATACATAGGTAATAAAATATCAATATAAGTAATACCTGCTTGAGAACACTGTTGTGATAATGAAGCAAAATATACATATGAAGGTACTGTACAAATGGAAGCAGCACTTATTAACACCTTAACGTTGTTTACAAGTAACTTCTTATTTAAACCATGGAATGTTTTGTCTGAATATTGGGAACTTCTGACCACCATATAAATTCAATTACCATTTCCTTGAACTCTGGATAAGTGTTCTTGCTTGTCATATCAAACATACTCTGGATCCATTTGTATTCCCTACACTCCTATACAGATAGTCTGATATAGCACTGAAACTTGTCAATGATGCCTAGGAAGCATATACACTCTATAAGTGTTTTGTTTTCTTTTTATGAATGCAGGAGGCCCAAAGCATCACCTAGGTACATCTGCAAGCAGTTCTCATGGTGCAGGCCTATAACCAGAAGAATAGATGCTTATATTTTTAAGGCAAGACATATCCATTTAATGCCACAAAGAACAGTCAATTCCATCTGATTTAGTCATTTCATTTTTGCAACAGGGTAATCATGCTGTAAATACTCACCTGAGTAGAGAGAGGCCCCAGACACTGCTATGGAAGGTGTGCCTGAAATGTTTCTGCGATGGCATTTTCTGAGTTCCTCAGAGGTGCTTTCATCGGTAGCCAAACTCACGGAATTTTCAAAACCATGCTCCTTCTCACAAAGTAAAAGTGAAAAAATTCAACATTATACTGTCTAGAATCTACTTTAAAATCTTACCATATAAATATAATTTAGTATAAACATGTATAAATATAATTGAAACATCTCCTTCTCTCTTTGGGAGACAGTAATTGACATTTGAAGGTTCTTCAACAGGAGTCCATATAACTCCAAAACTTATTATCATCAATAATTCCTATCTAAAATCTATTCCAAGAGGCTTCTTAATTAGCACAAAAGGTGTCTGAATTATTTTTATCCACATAACAAGTGAATGTTCTAATATATATGGTTAGCAAGAAAGATAATGCAAGTACCTCCAAATCTTATATGAACTATGTATACGAATCTGTCGAGCTTTGCATCCTCAGAGTAGCATTGAGGCTTAGAACTCTTTTATGTATTTGATCCTATGTTTGTCCCCACTCTCAACATCCCCTCTTTTCAACCACTCCTTACTTCCTCCACTCCGATTTAACAGAAGATCATGCAGCTTTTCTATCTAGAAGGCTGGCTGATCAGAATATGGTTGGTTACATCTACGTTGGAGTGATACTTTCATGCATGGTACTTACCAATGTTTATAAAAGGATAAAGAGTGAGGACCTCCCCAGTTTACAGAACAGGTGTTTTTGTCTGTTTGTTTTGTAGTGTCTTATTACTATTTGTTAATGCTTGTACATGTGGTAGAATTCAGGCTGAACTCACCTTTATTTTAACCCATGATATAGGAAAACTCTGTTCCAACTGTGCCCATGCCAGCAGGGGCTTGACTGCTACATCATCTCAAGCTTGCTTTAGCATTAAAAAACTGATTTTGGACTGTTCAAAAACTTGGCTGAGGTTATATATCTATGCAAAAGATACCATGGTGTGGTAATGATCAAACCTAAAAGAGACTTTTCAATTCTCCTTTCTGCAAACAATTAAAAAGTGTCTTTCATAGTGCCACAGGAAGGAACCCCCTATGTGTTGCCCATATCTTAGACATTCAGAAATACTTTGATGAGCTCACTCCAGAAAGATGTGCTCTCTCTTGCTTTACATGCTAATCAGTTCAGCTTCAGTGTGACTGCTTTTAGTCTGATTATTCTCCAACACAATAATACCTGTAGCAGGAGGTATAGAGTTCCTAGCTCCTCTAATTGCCATAGACTACCAAGGTTTATCAAAAGAGTGTGACAGAGGTCAAATTGCTAATTTAGTTTAGGTCAGTTTTTAACAGCTCTAGTGAAGCAAGACCAAGTTCCTTAAGGCAATTATGTTGATGGAAAATTTTCCCACAGGTGATTTGGAAGTATGATTAACATTGAGCACTCATTGGCCAATTAATATTGTGCAGTCATTAACAAGAAATGTGTGTCCTAAAGGTTCAGGATGTCAAGCCTAACATTAACAGATTATGTCACAGTAGAAAACAGGTTAGAGATTTCCATGTTCTCTCTTCTATACTAAAAATTATTTCTTATGTGCTAAAACAGAGAAGAACATTGAAACAAACCGATGTTAAGAAATGAGAGAAATTGGGCGGCACCTGTGGCTTAAAGGAGTAGGACGCCAGCCCCATATGCTTGAGGTGGCGGGTTCAAACCCGGCCCTGGCCAAAAACTGCAAAAAAAAAAAAAAAAAAAAAAAAGGGAGAGAGAGAGAGAAATTGAGAAGTTGTTACCTTGGTCATCATCTAACAGTATATGCTCTTTTCATTCATCATGAAAGAGCCAATGTTTTTCATAAACTATTGTGCTGTCTTCTCTTTATTCAACAGAAAATAGTTATCTTTGTTTCTCTTTTGCTTTAAAAAATTGTCATCTTAGATTAGCTAGAAGCAAGAGTGATATCAACATAGGCATTTATGTACATATCCTTAACTCAATTGCAGGGAATTTCTGTTGGGGAGACGTAGTTCTCTAATAAAGAAATATTCAGGTAGAGGCTGTTAATTTTGAGGGTAGTAGCACATAACAAGGGTGAATTTTCACCCGAATAATATCAAATGGTAGTTGGGAAGATAATCCTTGTTTTGAGAACACACTTGATTAAGTTATTGGTTATTGATTATCAGCTGCTACCCATTGAGACAGTTGCACCAGTTGTTCAAGATTTTTTAAATACTTCTGTGTCCATTGATAAAAATAACTACTCCAGTCCACCCTCCTTTCCTATGCTCTCCCTCATCCACAACCCCAGGGCTACCCATAACCCAGGTTAAGTTCATGGTATAAAAGAGCATCCAAAGTACTTCCCTGGCTTTGTGCCAGTGTCTATTGCAGCTGCACTATGTACCTGCCATACCAGCTGCCAAATATTTTGAATATCATTTCTTTTTAGTTTGTCAAAGAAATGCATGCACCTTTCTGGTCACTGAACAGAATTTGTTTGCTGAACTTAGCATAAATATGTATGAAATTTTAAATATGACTTTATCTCATCAGCAAATACAGTTTAGACTGCAAATGTTTAAATAAATGTATTATTGTTACTCAATCTGTCTGAATGCCTTTTAGCTCTTCCTTAAACAAACATATCTACGAAATCTGACTGTTCACTACCTCCAGGACTATCTTCTTATTCCAAAGCCCAATCTCTTGCCTGGCCTATGACAATGGCCTTCTAATAGGTCTCCTGGCTTCCACTCTTGTTCCCCTACAGCTGCTTCTCAGCACAGCCCTGTGACCCTGCTTAAACAGAAGCCAGATTGTGTTATTCTTCTGCTCAAAACTCTCCAACTTCCCTCTTCTTGATCAGAGTGAATGCTGGAGTGCCTACAGCCATCCTTAATTCCCTACCCAGCCGCAGGATCTCTTTAACTTCATTTCCCAGTACTCCTCTTTGTTCACTCCCAACAGTTGCATTGATCTCATTGTTCTTTCTTAAATATAGCAGGTATGCTCCTGCCTCAGGTCTTTGTACTGGCTGTTTCTCCAGAGGCATTACAGATATTTTAGAAATTACTTGTGCAAGGGCACTAACCATTCGAGATGGAGGCCAGCTGTGAGTGGAGCAGCCTTCTCCATGTGTACTTGCCAAATATCAGCACTATCTCTGCCTGGAAGAACACTTTGTTCCAAACATCCACCTGGCTAATTCTTTCACTTCCTTCAAGTCTTTGCTTAAGCAAGACCTGTTGTGTAGTAAGCTCTCATTAAATATTGGCTGAATCATATAGTTCTGGTTCATATATAACAATTTCTTAAATATAGAAGCCAGCAGTATGTATAGGTTCTTGCTTCGTCAAGAAAATCTAAGTAGGTGCTAATTCATTCCAAGGATGACTCCCAACAGAATATTTAGCAAAACAGAATATTTTCCAATAAATCCTTTTTCCATCTTCTCTCTTAAAAGAGAAATCCAACAAAAAGTGTAATTTATCATATGCATAATGCAATTTAAGTCTTCACTGTTTGTTGACCCCTTATTTTAACAGATTATTTTAAAGAATTCAAGGTTCTACTTTTCCAGATTTAAATCTGTTTGAGAAAAATTTTGTGCAGTCAACTTCTCTGAGAAGTAACATGTAGGATCAAAATCAGAACCTTCAAAAAATTCTGTATATTTGTTTAAACCACATAGCTATTTAATACCCCCACTATACAAATGTTGACCTTGAACCTGGTCTTTCCCTTTCTTTTTTACTTTGGGTTCCATGCCAGAAGCTAGGGATGTAAGACACTCAGTCCTGATAAAGAAGTTTCTACCATTAAGTAGCATAAACAGGGGGGATGCCTGTAGCTCAGTGGGTAGGGTGCTGGCCCCATATACTGAGGGTGGTGGGTTCGAACCTGGCCCCTGCCAAACTGTAACAAAAAATAGCCAAGTGTTGTGGTGGACACCTGTAGTCCCAGCTATTTGGGAGGCTGAGGCAAGAGGATTGCCTAAGCCCAGGAGTTGGAGGTTGCTGTGAGCTGTGACATCACAGCACTCTACTGAGGGCAATAAAATGAGACTCTGTCTCAAAAAAAAATAGCATATACATGTACTCTGAGATATGGAGAGATCAAAATCAGTCCCACTGTGCTAGTGAGGTTGACTTCAAGAGGATATCCTTTCACATTTGTGCACTTACTCTAGTGTTGACTGAGTTTACACTGCGGGTGCTTGGGACTGGCGACCTCTGAGTACCTGGGGTTACATCACTGCTCCAGCTGCTCTTTGGGGTCCCAGGACCAGCATCACAGTCATTGAGATCTGATGAACCAATGCTTCCCCTAAAAGAAAAAGTATATCCTGACTTTAACCTGGAAGAAGAGCAGCAACCAAAGACACAGGCAGGGAAAAGCTGACAAGGGAAACACTGAGGATATGTGAACCACACCAAGTTCATAAGAGCCACTGGAACTGCTCAGCAATTATCATGTGACCCTTCTCCTCAAAGCCCTTCTATACCTCACTAGGTTTGATACCATTTGCCTGACTCCAGGGACATTGCCAATGAACTTTACTCTTGTCTTTCTTTGTTTCCTTTGCTTATCAGCATTCTCCCAGCCAGTCCAGGTTTCATACTATTCCCTCAACTCACCATGTTTACTTGAACCTCCTAAGATCTTTGCTCACTTTCTCCCCATTTGACATGCCTTCTTGGCCACTGTCCATCTATGAAAATCTACCCCAGTCTTCAAGGGCAGATGATGTCCAGCCTTCCCCATCAGGTCTTTTCTGTCAAAAACAAGCCTTGTTAACCTCTGCTTCATGTAATTCCTATTTACTTAACAGTCTTTGCCAAACTACTGTACTTAGTACTTGGCTACTTAATGTCTTATTTGACTTCCTGAATGATCCATATATGTGAGCTCTGGTGCTTCTTTCAACTGTGAGCTCCTTGGCAACAGAGTTCATGTCATATTTACCATGTATCTCCAGCACCTTCATAGTGTCTTGATCTAAAGAAGACACTCAGTACATGTTTATTCAAAGATGGGGAATTATGTTTCATTCCTCTGTATTACTTTAGTGTCTGACTCATGGTGCACATTCAATAAATGTGTTATAAAGATAATGACATTTGGTAAATGGCCTTGAATCACTTTCATGTTTGCTAAAATGATTTAATTCCGTTCAATAATAATAAATGAAAAACACAGTTCCTGCCCTTGAGGTGATCACAATTTTCTTATTAAATGAAGTTGCATAAGTAAACTTAGGTTTTGACAAATTAGAGTTTAAGAGAAGTATTTGTTCTTATTTTATTCCTTATCCTCAGTAAGCACAAAATATGCTAAGTAGTAAAATATAAGTTTTAAGTTTCATTCTCTTAGTTATGATCTGAATAAGTTACGTGCTTCTATAATAATAAACATCTTATTGGTAAAGCACCCCATATGGCCTTGGCTCAGGAGGGACCTTTGGATGTATCTGTTCACTCTGACAAGAGAATAAAATTTTGTGATTAAATAGATTGATACAATTCATTGTATTAAATTAAATCGATTGATACAATAGACTGATAAAATTGATACAATTTGGAATTCTAAGTTCCTTGATTTTCCTAAGCCCTTCTACCTCAGGTAATACTTTTTACATTTGACAACAGTTAACCATATTTAAACCATTCCAAATATTTCTTTTTTTTTTCCTTTTTTAATCTTAAAAAAATTCAGAATATTAGGAGGTACATGTTTTGTTTACATACTTTGTTTTTGTACACATTGAATCAAAGTTATAAGCGTTCCCTTCACACAGATAGTGTACACTGTACCAAATAGGTATTAATTTATCAATCCCCTCCTCCCCTCTCCCCCAATTTGGTTTTCATTGAGATTTACTTTGATACGTGCCTCTAAGTCTTAGACTAGTTATGATTAGTTATGATTTTGTATTGAGTTCATGTGTTTGTTTCTCCATTCCTGTGTTGTTACACTTAGAAGAATGGTTTCCAGTTCCATCTAGTTGTCACAAAAGATACTAGATCACCACATTTTTTACTGCTAAGTAGTACTCCATGGTATACATATACCATATTTTATTAATCTGTTCATGTACTGAGCACTTGGGTTGTTTCCACATCTTTGCAATTATCAATTGTGCTGCTATAAACATTTGAGTGTAGGTGTCCTTTTTATAAAATGACCTTTTTTCCTTTGGATATATACCTAGCAGTGGGATTGTTGAATCAAATGGTGGGTCTACTTTAAGTTCTTTGGTTATCTCCATACATAGAGGTTGCACTAGTTTGCAGTCCCACCAATAGTATACAGGCATTCTGTTCTCTCTGCATCCATGCCAGCATATGTTGTTTGGGGACTTTTTAATATAAGCCATTTGCCTTGGAGTTAAGTGATATCTCATGGTGGTTTTGATTTCTATTTCTCTAATGATTAGAGACATTGAACATTTTTTCATGAGTTTTCTGGCCATTAGTATATCTTCATTTGAAAAGTTTCCATCATACCCTTTACCCACTTTGTAATGGCATTGTTTGGTTATTTCTGCTCATCTCAGAGGTCCTACTTAGGTGGGGCACAGAGACATCCCCAGTGATGCTGCATAGTGACCATAAGCTCTCTGCTCTCAGAACAATAATACCACAAAAATATCTGTCACTACTGTTTTAGGTAAAATCTTGAAAAAGAAAGGCTAGGGGTGAATTTTGTAAAATGAGCCAACAAGTTATGAACCAAAGGGATGGATGTGTGAGTGTTTTGTGCTTGTCTATGCGCTGAAAGGCCTCCTAGCATCAGGTGGTCCTGATAAATGCCCCATCAAGAATTGGCCTTGGAGGGTGGCACCTATGGCTCAAAGGAGTAGGGCACCAGCCCCATATGCCAGAGGTGGCAGGTTCAAACCCAGCCCTGGCCAAAATCTGCAAAAAAAAAAGAATTGGCCTTGGTGAAACTAAAAGTCTTATTTATGTAGGAGCTCTGGCAGAAGTTGATTAATTGCAGTGATGACATTTAAAAGGTTATCCTTTAATAAGGAAAAAATTGTTGTGATTATAAGTCAGCTACTGTAAATTATTGTTGCCAGCAGCGTTATCTCAAAAATGACATATACTTTCATATTTGTCCCTGGCATTTACTGTGAGCCTCTCAAAAATATTTTCCTTTCAGTTGATTAGTCTAATACAAGGTTTATTCTTATGGGGCATATCCTCATAAATATTTGGGTGCCAATTTTCCTAGATGTTATATAAAATATGACATAAAATACCATTACCACTTAAGTAGGAGGAGGGTAAATGTGTCTAAATTAAATTTGGGAAGTTTAAGAGTCAATTAAGAAAAAAACTATTTTTTTTTGTTTCAGATATCATGTAACTGAGTTTTATATAAGAAGTATTAGAAATCAGCACCAATAAACCTTCAAGCTTAAATGTGGTTAAGTAAAAATTGGCAAGACAGAGAAACATCCCATTCTAATAGGGCCCAAGTGTAGGAATGTGACACTGGGAAGCTTGGATATTGTGAGTTACTAAAAGAAACACTTTCTGTGTTAAAAAAAAAAAAAGAGTTATATACTTTTAAAAGCCTTCCAGATTGTTATATCTAATTCCATACTGCCCCCAAATGTATCTATTTTAGAAAGAGAATCCAAAGATAAGAAAGAAGAGACTACAATTTAATGAGTTGCTTTCTGGGTTACATAATAATCTCCTAGGAGTTGTAGCTGGGAAATAATTGTCCTGGATCTTACCTTCCCAGAATGGCTGATGATGTTGAGCCCATGCCTGCATGGTTAAATGGCTGCTCCCCAAAGGCGACACTGACCTGACAGATCCTAAAACTCATGGAGACCATGAAGCTAATGACTAGCACAACACAGGGTCAATGTACAATATTCTTTATGAGGTTTATGAACTTTTCTAACTTATTTTAGTTATTTCAGGTCTGAAATGAACATGTAAGAAAGATGGGCGAGGGGAGGTTGTGGTTGGTAAGTGAGATGATCCTATTAAATGGTAAAGAGACAAAAAATGAGAAAGAAAAGGAGCCAGACATGGTGGCTCATGCTTATAATCCCAGAATGTTGGGAAGGCCAGGGTGGGAGGAATTTCTTGAGGCCAGAAGTTTGAAGCTGCAGTGAGCTACACAGTTGATCCTGCCACTGGGCTCCAGCCTGGGTAACAGGGTGAGACCTCATTTAAGAAAAAAAGAAACAAAAAGAAAAAAAAATAGAAAAAAAATTGAATGTAGCTCAACTTTCTGGTCCCCAAATCCTATGTCTTTGTCAATAGTCTTATGTGAGATGAGTGGCCTTCACCCTTGGCTGAACAATAGAAACACCTTGGAGAGGGCTATTAAAAATCCCCATGTCTAGACCATATCCTAGACTAACTACATGTGACTCTTTGGGCATGGAAGTTAGGCATTAAAAATATGTTAAAACTCTCCAGGTGATTCCAGTATGCAGCCAAGGCTAGAAAACACTGTGCTAATCTATGGATATAAGTTCACTGATCTTCGATATCTCTCCACCTACATTGTACTCTCCCTTTCTACCACTCTTTTCTTCACTCAGCATAGTTCTCACATAAGACAGTCTCACAACTCAGATTGTGACAAATGGAAGGACACTTAGTGTGTTAGTGAATGAATATGTCACTGTAGGGGTTAGTAAACGATAGCCTATGGACCAATTTGGGACTATCAAATGTTTTTGTATGGCTCATGAGCTAAGAATAGTTTTTACATTTTTAAATGGTTGAAAAAAATAAAAAGAATAATAATATTTTGCAACACATAAACATTATATAAAATTCAAATTTCAGTGCTCATAAATAAAATTTTATTGGCATGCAGGCATGCCCACTTAATTATATATTGCCTATATTGCTCCAATAGAGTTTAATAATTGAGACAGAGACCATATAGCCCACAAAGCGAAAATGTCAACTATCTTTACCTTTACATAAAAGGTTTATTGATGTCTATGTGTGTATGCCCATGCACACCAGTACATATACACACAAATACATGTTTCCATTTAAAAACCAAATCCTTTACAGAGGCTAACACATCCCAAAGAAATGAATTTCAGGTATTTTGTGTGTGTGTGTGTGTGTGTGTGTGTGTTTGTGTCTGTGTGTGTCTTAGGCCTAGGTGAACCGTCAGGGGACTTCTTGAAAGCAGAATTAGGGAAGCAGAGAGATTAGGAAGACATGGAAATTCATTAGGCAGCTTTTCTCATTGCAATGTACTCTTAAGTCATTGGCCCTCTACTGCCTAATTACACATATCTTCTGTCCTTTTTTTTTTTTTCCTTTTTGGAGAGG